ACAAAGTTGACAAACAAAACAGTTCATTGACCTAGAGACCAAAGGATCAGACCAACAAGCATGCTCTAGGATCGATGCGAAAGGCAACTAAATTGGCTAATTCACCAAAAAAGATAGGGTATACATAGAGGCAAGCGCTACATAGACAACGCACACGTTAACATGCCAATTAAACACTAGAAAAAAGTGAAAAAAATAAAATAAAATAAAAGAAAAAGAAAGAAGAAAAACGTTGATGGGGATAACTTGGGGCAATAGAACCATAAGTGCCAGCTACTACAATATAATTAGATGAATTAGGATCCAAAAGCCTAACATTTCCAAAGTCAAAAACAAAAGTCCCTAGCTTTGATTTCAAGAGAATGTTATCACTTGATATGTTTAGACGAAGGATGGGTGAGATGCATATGTGGTGAAGGTAAGACAAAGCATGTGACATGCTTTTGATGACGTTCAGCCTTTTGAGCCAGCTTTATCATCATTCCTAAGGACACAAAACAAGGTTTTTCTTTCCATGCATTCATAGATCAAAAACATGCATCGCCTATGCAGATAGAAGCCAAGAAACCTCACAAAGTTCCTGTGTCTTATTTCTATTAGCACCTTCACCTTCTTTTCAAAACTCTTGTCAAAAGTTAGTTTCTCTATGATGCACTAAAATCACTCTAACAAATGTATTAGTCATTCTAAGTAATATAATGATGAGAAAAGTGTCAAATCCATGAGAATTATGATAATTAATTACCAAAATAATTAATTTAAATTTATTTAAACAATTGAAAAAAGAAAAAAAACTTTAATAAAAAATAATAAAAAAAAAGTAATAATCAAATTAAAGCTAATAAAGGTATGAGGTATTAAGGTATCAACTTCATTATAATCAATCAATATAAATTCCGGATTAATATACTCTCAAAACCAATTTGTTGAGTGTTATTGTTTGAAAGTGGATTTCCTTTAATTAATTAACTAACTTTCTCAAGTTAAGTTAATCATTTCTCTACTTCTACTTGTCAAATTAATCATATCTATATGTAATTTTAAACAAATTAGTAAGTATTAAATTCTATAGAAACCTTTAGCTTAAGAAAGGAGAACTCCTGACCCTCTTCTCTTCTTCTACTACCACATGTAATGCTAATTGCTTTTCGATCTTATAGTCTAACACATGGTTTATATTATTATTAGTCTAGTTTATGCAATTATTTCCCAAGTTTATGCATAAATCACTAAATCAATTGAAAGTTGATCTGGATTTCAAGACATTAAGTTCAATAACATAAACTCATCATACAAATAACTTTAATTGAAAGTATAAAAATTACAAAATCTATACTAAATTGATTAGGCTATATCATAGCCTTAATAAACTAAATTAATTCATAATAAAAGTAATAAAATTTGAAATCATAATTATGAATATAAAAATACTAAACAATAGATAAAAATAATTTAATGAAAAACAAAAATTGAAATCATTGGTTTTTTATTGTTAATGAATCATCTATCTTGATATTCAAGAATACCCAAAAGACAGCTGCTACTAGCCTTCAAAGCTCTCCTCAATTTTGAACTTGGATGAGTATTTATAGGATTTTAGAAAAACTAATTAGAATAAAAGTGGAACCCACATCAAAATAATAAACATGACCATGGACTTGCTGAAATCGCATAAGGGGTCAACACCTTCAACTATGTGCTGATACCTTTTATTAAGCTACGACTGAAATCTCCATGTTGGGGTTTTGGCCTTCTAAGCAATTTCTGTTAATGGTAAAATAACAATTCCCTAACTTCTAAATTCCACACAAATTAATCCTCATTCTTTTGATTTTTTTCAATTTGCTCTTAAAAGTTATAATTCCTTTTAATTAAGTCTTTTCCTATATAAATAATGAAAATTATGTAAAATCAAGTAAAGTCTTATAAAACTCATCTAAACATTAATAATATTAAGGTAAAAATTTCACATTAAGATATATAAATTTAGCTCATCACTCTACTTGTCCTTGGTGAAGTTTGTTCAAGGCAACAACTTTGCCTTTGGCAATTGTGCCCTATAAACCCCACCATAGCCACCTGTACTAATGCAATATCTGATATCGAAATCATTAGTTGCTTTAAGGATGCCTTCTCACGCAACCCTTCCATCAAAGTGCCATATTGAGATTATATCTCCATTTTTGTGGGACTTGGATATCCATTTCCTTCCTTACTTTTTCCTAGAGAAAGCAACAAAAAATTTCTGGTATGCCAAGTCAAAAGAAATGGCAAGAGCAATAGGAAATTAAAGAATGATTTAAGATACATTTTGCCAAAAAATGAGCTGTTAGGAAAATGAAACAATGCTTTTGGGATTTTAGGGAGGGAAAGGAAATAATTTAATTTGACCAATCAAATTAAGTTCTTGGCTATAATGGGTTGTTTGGTTTTAAAAAACAAAGGGAAAAGGAGGAGAGGAGAAGACACCTTATTTTGACCAATCAAATTAAGTTGTTTTCTCCTCTCTCCTCAAACCAAATAGATTGTTAGTGTTATTTTAACTAAGATGTAGCCTTAGGATGCATTCAGAATTGCGGTTAGACACTTTTTCTAATAGCTGTATAGTACTTTTAGATATATTTATATTTGATAATGTTTTTTACTATTTTTTTCAAAAGATATAGAAAGTCACAACAAATTTACAAAAATTTTGTATATAAAACTAAAAACTTCATTTTGGAGCTTTTATGCTATGGTGTTCATGGATAAAACCTAATATTTAATACAATTATAACATTACCTATTAAAACCCAACCTTATTTAATTCAATTACACTACAATTTATAATCTTTATTTAAACTTAACCTCTCATTTACTTGAAGATTTCATAAAAAATTAAAAACTCATTCCCTTCTTATGAGTTGCTATCTCACAAAACCCAAAAGAACACCAATCATAAGAAACCTAAAAAACCTAAATTATTAAGTAGTTAATGTTATTTATTTTAGTAATTATACATCATATAATATTTTTTAAATTTAAATTAATAATTACTAAAATTTACCATATGTCATTGCAATACTTTAAAAATTAATAACCAAATACTTAAATAACTTTTAATTACAATCACAACACCTTATAACAATATCAAACTCACCCTTAATTTGGAATAAGGAAGTTGGAGGGGAAGGGAAGGAGCGAGAAGAGAAGATACCTCCGTCTTCGGTTTGGGTTGTTGATTTTAATGGAGGGGGATAGAGACGGAAGGGGATGAAATGAAACCCCTCCACTCCTCAATTTTTAATCCTTCCAAATTCGAGGAAGTGGGAGAGATTGGTTTTATATATTTAATCTTTTTAAAAAATAAATATATAAAAATATTTTATATTAAATTTTTTAATTAGTGAATTTTAAAATTTTTATTTTATTTTATTTTATTTTATTTTTAAAAAATTATTTAATTAAATAAAAATATTATTATTCCCTCTAATCCCACTTTTGTCTATCTAAATAAATTCAACGTCACTTTCGTCTATCTAAATATATTTAAGATCAACCTTTTTCTTCTATTCACTTCTACTTCCTCCCCCCTCTCCTTTCTTTTCTTCCTTTTACTAATTTTTATCCAAATAAACACGTAAGGACTAGAAGTATGAAGTTAGGTAGAGTACTTGCAGTAGTCTTGGTCTTCTCTCAAGCTTTGGACATAGCATCACTTTCTTCAGGGGGATCGAGCAGCGAAGTTTCTCTTCACTTGGGAGACCCTACATTAAAGTCAAGCCGAAGAACAGGTACTTTATTCAAAAGATTGAAAAATAAGGTCGGAATTAGTCCATCCATCTGTGGGTCTTTTTCATGGATTTTCATCCTTGGTTTCTGAGAAAATGTGGTACAGGGAATCTAATGCCTTCGGTACTAATGACTAGTCCAATCAAATCTGTGGTGAAACCAACTCCATGAATTTTCAAGTTTTTTTTTTTGGTACTAATGTCTCATTTTTCGGTATCCACAATTGAATCCTAATTAATTTGGAATCGAGTCGGGTCGGACTCTATATGAGGGGAAACTCTTCCAATACTTGTTTTTCCATTCACAAAACTTGAACTTGAGATATTGTTTAAGGGAAACCGAACTCTTTCCATTCGAACCAATAAATTGTTGGTAATGAATTTCCAAGTTTATTACACCGAGCAATGCATGTATAGTTTCTCAGCAAATTTGGTATGAGTGGGCAGTATTGCTTCCAATCTTATGTTCCAAATTTCCAACCATATTCACATTTGTCAAGTGACCTGAAGTTGGACGGAGTGGACCAACAAGTTGGCCTTACTTGATATTCAACAAAATGATTGCTTAAACTTTCCAAATTCTTGAGGGATAATAGGTACGAAGTTTACAAAATGGCTAATTGATCAAGCATGTTCCAGTATAGATCCAAGGTAACTAAATTGACTAATCGACCAAGAGATGAAGGTATGGACCGAAAAGCATGTTGTTGGATAGATATATATTTTTTTTTTTGAAAGGCAAAAAATAGTTTTATTTTGAATACAAAGGGTAGTCTAATCCATTTACATAACATTTATAGTGCCTATGCACCTATGCACTTAAATACTAACATTACATAGATGGGGATTGAGGATCCATGAGAAACCGTACCTCAAAACCTTTCCTTTGTTTGTCAACCAGTGAAAGGATCTTACTTGGACTAAATCAAATAACCTATTTGTGTCCACCATTTTATTGTTGAACAGGATCTCATTTCGATAGATATAAGGCAACTAAACGTATATTACTGTTATAGACACTCATTGAAGGGTACTCCTTTGATTGACAATCCCTTATCAAATCAAAGTTGCCTTTTGATTCCCAAATTAGACATCAAGGATTTCATTTGGAGAAGAACCATGATATTCATTGGGATGACATGTAACTTCTTGTTGAGATTCTCCATTCACCAGTTCCAATAGAGAAATAGCTTGAAAAGGATTCAAAAGTGGTCTTTGGCGACCAACAAACTGTTGAGACACAAATCTCATTGTTGGTCTAAACTTGGGGTTTGCATGCAAGCAAGCAAATGCAAGTCTAGTAGCAACCACAATACTCTGGGTAACATTTTTGCCACTTGGAGGTGACAAACGTGTATCCAACATGGCATTTAGCATCACGTTTTGCGAAAAAGATGGTGATGATGACAATGTCAACAGTTCTCCAGGATGCCTTCCCATTAGTACTTCTAATGCCACAACCCCAAAGCTATAAACATCACATTTCTCCGTCACAACCATCGTATTGGCAAGTTCTGCATAGACAAGGCACACACTTAACTGTGTTAACTAATAAGTTTAACAGTAGAGAGTGAAATAACATAATAGAAGAAGATTGTTGGTAAAGAGAACCTGGTGCAATATAACCATGAGTGCTAGCATCCATGGTATAATTAGATGAACCAGCTGGATCCAAAAGCCTAGCATTTCCAAAGTTAGAAACAAAAGCCTCCAATTCTGAGTCCAAGAGAATGTTTTTACTTGAGAAGTCTCGATGAAGGATGGGTGGAATGCAGTCATGGTGAAGGTAAGACAAAGCATGTGACATGCTTTTGATGACGTTGACCCTTTTAAGCCAATCTAATTCCACAGCTTCAACATCATTTCTAAGGACACAAAACAAGCTTCTACTTTCTATGTATTGATAGATCAAAAACATGCATTGATTATGCATGCAAAACCCATAAATCCTTTCAATGTTTCTGTGTCTTATTTCTGTTAACACCTTAATATCATTCTTGAAACTCTCGTTGAAAGCTAGTTCCTCTGCTTTCCCTGGGTGAAATTTCTTCAAGGCAACCACTCTATTTGGCAACTCAGCTCTATAAACATTGGCATAGCCACTCGAAGCAATGCAATAGTTGGCGCTGAAATTGTTAGTTGCTTTAATGATGTCTCTATATGCAGCCCTTCCATCAAAATTCCATATTGAGAATGCATATCCATTTATTGTTGGACTTGGATCTCCTTCATTAGCAATCCGATGTTTTCTTCGAGAAAACAACAAAAATGCCAAGTATGCCAATCCAAGCGAAATGGCCAGAGAAATAATAATGAATAGAATGATTTTAAGATACATATTTTGCCAAAAAAAAAAAAGAAGAGCTTTTGGGAAAATGAAGATGTTAATTAGTCTGGAGATGCATGTCCTCCAAGCTCTTATTCAAGTCATTGAAGTCAAGGTCTTCTAACTTAAACTTTACGTCGTCGTGTATAGCTCCACAATTTTCTTCAATTGGATCCATCCGCGAAGTTTCTCCGCTTGAAGACCGACTCCTCCGTTACACGGAAGTCATGAAGTCAATCAAAGTCGTTATTATCGTGTGGTACACGATAACCACGCGATGATAACAACTTTGATTGACTTGACTTTGGTGTAACCTTTAGAACTTATAATGAAATTTGCTCTGGTACTAAAAAAGAAA